TACCTTCAAATATTAATAATTTATCAGTCCCAAGTCTTACTCAACCATTCAAAGCTTAAACTCCTTAGTACATAAGCATTTTTCGGATTTGACTATCAATTGGAAGGCTTTCGAGTCTGAATTTGATCAAACGGAGTGCGGAATCGGAATCAGGGCGTTGAACAACATAAAGTATGACTTTTCGAAAATTTAAATTCTTGGTCAAAATCAAAGTCAACGGGTTTGACTGATGATTTGAAGGCCTTCGGGTTCGAATTTGGAAAAACAGACTTCGAAAACGGATTTGGAACGTCGAAAAATATCAGAATAAGTATACTTAAACAAAATAAAAGGTCGTTTAATGGCCGTTTAATGTCGATCAAAGTTATGGTCAAAGGGGTTCAATAGTCCACATTCGAAAATTCTCAAAATGTCACATTTTTCAAAATAATTCTCAGAATGTCACATTTTTTAAAAATAATTCCATAAATTTCACCTTTTTTTCAAAATAATTCTCAGAATATCACATTTTTTCAAAATAATTCCCAGAATATCACATTTTTTCAAAATAATTCCTAGAATGTCACATTTTTTCAAAATAATTCCCAAAATGTCACCTTTTTCAAAATAATTCTCAGAATGTCACTGTATCGGGTCGGGTCAACGTGTCGGGTCAAACCGGTCAACCCGGTTCAGACCGATTTGGACCGGTCAAACCAGTCACAACATCACCCATCCATTCGCATCTTTCCCCACGCGCAGGGGCGGCGCGTGGGGGCGCGTGAGACCTCCTCTGGTCTTCAAAAATTTCCAAAAATTATTTTAAGCGATTTTGAATCACTTACCAACATTGGTTCAAATTTTTGAACGGTGGAGAGCTCGATTTCAACTCAGCTGAATCTTTGATCGCTCCACCTCCCACACGCGCCGCCGCTTACGGAGACAAGGACGACACCTTCGGACTTGGAACGACACCAGGAACACGATGGTGCGGGAGGTGTCGAAAATCGATTAACGATCGGAGATGAATTTAAGATTTTCCCGGCGGTGGTGCTAAAAAAACGTCGATACTATGACTCGAAATTCACGGCGTTTGGCAGCGTTTCGCTAAAATTGGTTTACTGGGTTTTGTTCACGGGTCGAAGATGAACACGATGGTAGTTTCAATTTTATGATTAGAAGTCGGACGACGTCGGAATTGAGCTTGAAAGTAGAGGTACGGGAGGAAGAAAGTTTTTGTAAATAAAACATGTGTTTTCTGTTTTCAATCAGAAAACACACTTATAATACAAGACTGTCGACACTCATTGGAAGAATTCAGAGCTTGATCCCTGAATTTTCTTCAACTTCTAAAATGGCTTATAAGTTTTGAAAACTTTTAATTTAGTCACCAAATTACACCGATTTAAATATTTTTTTTCGGGTTGTTACAAAATTTCATAATTGTTTTCTTATGTGCAGAGCAGAAGAAACAAAAACTTTCTGATATAAGAGCTGGGTTGGAAAATGCAGAAGCTCTGGTATCTGGTTCACTGCCTGTTTCAAATAATCCTTTTTTAGCTTTTCTGTTGTTTTGGGTGAACCTGATGCTGCTATCTTCTTTCTCAGATTCGTAAGATGGACCTTGAGGCTAGAAATTTGCAGCCAAATGTTAAGGCTGTACTTCTTGCTAAGTTAAGGGAATATAAATCAGATCTTAACAATGTGAAAAGTGAAGTTAAAAGAATTGCATCTGGTAATTTGAACGCAGCTGCTCGAGATGAGTTGCTGGAGTCTGGAATGGCTGATACCCTCACGGTATGTTTTGGTTCTTCTTACCTGCCTTTTAAAATTCTGGAGTTTTATCACGGGTCTGCTTTATTTCCAATTAACTTTTGATTTCTTATGTAACCCATGACCATATGATAGGCATCAGCTGATCAAAGATCAAGATTAATGACGACCACAGAGCGTTTGAATCAGAGCAGTGGCAGAATTAAGGATAGCAGAAGAACCATGATAGAAACAGAAGAGCTTGGGGTTTCAATTCTTCAGGATTTGCATTCACAACGACAGGCTCTCTTACACGCCAATAACACGGTACCTATGCTCCTTTTCACTTTACCTTTCTCATATCTTAGTTGTAATTTGATTAAATCTCGCTATACCAAAAGCATATACAATAGTTGGACTTCAAATTCTCCCATCTTAAGATATAATGGTTAGTTGCAAACCTTTCCAATTGCAAGAACATGCTATGACGAAGGCTTATGTGGTAACTTTTTTTTTTTATAGAAGGGCTTATGTGGTAACTAGACTTGAAAATTTTGAAATTTTTCGGCCATGTTTCCGTTTCTATTGCAGCTTCATGGAGTAGATGTCAACATTGGCAAGAGCAAGAGAATCATGACAGCTATGTCAAGGAGGATGAGCAGGAACAAGTGGATCATTGGCATCATTATTGCGGTCCTTGTCATTGCTATTGCCCTTGTTTTGTACTTCAAACTTATTAAGTAGTCAATTATTTGTATCTCTTCGCCCTCTTGGATCTATTTTGGTTTGTGGGTTTCTTCTGTGAGACATTTTTATTGTCCATTTTGAGTGCCAATAAAAATATATGCTTTCATTAATTCAAAAGACATCGCATCTTCGTTTTCATCAATTCTCCCGACTTGCTATTGTGATCGTCTGTAAGTTATCATTTTCTGTTTTCTTTTGATGGATTTGGCTTGGGATAGTCTAAATGTACCAAGTGTTTTACTAAACATACCAATTCTTTTAATAAAATAATAAAAAAGGAATGCTTTGTCAGCATTTGGACAGCAACTCACCTTTTTCTATGTTTCACGTGCGTTGAACTCAACGTACCCAACCGCCTCCCATTCATTCCAACCGGATCTTGCACAATATATATTTTCATAAATTAAATATTATAAAACATTATTACAGATAATTTTTAGCTCTATTTTTTATTCATTATATCGGATTTCAATCTTTAATTCCAATTAAAGAAATCAATATTATTTATAACATTGATAATTTAAATTAGGATAAGTCTACAACGTATGTTGTAGACCACTATATATTATTAAAGCGACATATTAAAATATATTATTAACTAAAATGTTCTTATTAAGTAAATAATAAATTATACGTGTAGTATTTACGCTATTATTTAATTATACATACATGTATAAAAAATAAATATTAAAACATTCATTGATAAATATCAAATTATTTTAAAAGTTTCGATGTTTGAATAGTTTTATATTTATATTGTAAATTATTTACGTAATTGCCCACGACTCCCTTGGTAGGTCGTAAGCAGACTTCTTTGTCGGCTACGATTTGTCGAGCGGTTGATATCAGCGGTAGGGATGGACATGGGTCGGATAGGGTGGTCCAACCAAACCTGAACTTTGTCCTTAAAAAAATCTGACACGATCCGAACCCAATTTTTTAAAAAAAAGCCCGACCCGATAGTTTGAATTAAATTTGTCCAAATATGATTTGAATCAAACATCAATCTAGTTTTAATCTGGTAATTAAATTAAATCAATGAATATTTGATTTTTATTATTATATATTTTAGTAAAATGATAGTGAAATGATAGTAACATGATAAACAAAGTCAGCAACAAAACGCCACGTGTAGTCTAGTAGGGCCTGTGAAAATAAAACTGAAAAAGAGTTAGTCCACTAATTGTTGTTTTCAACATGACTAAATTTTTTATTATTTTTTCGGTAGGTTTAGTAGTACCCTTTGGCTTAACACGCTTAGCTATTTTTATACGAACTTTTATGTATGAATAACTGACTTACATAAATTTTGAAATAAGTTCGTATTCCTATGGGGCGTAGTATATTATTTTCCTATGGGGCGTTAATTAGTATATTATTTATCTTCTGCCGCGTTGAGCTTTTACTTTTTTTATATGTTTTTCTCTCTCACATGTATCGTTTTTATCTCTGATTTTTTTTTTTTTACTTTCACTATTAAATTTTAGTTTGGGGTTTAACTGGAGCATTGTTAAATCATTAATAGCGTAATTAATTTTTCTCGTGAATTTTAATTTATGTATTAATTTTGTCACTAGATTTAAAATGTTCCAGTTTTAAGTACCGAATATTAATTTGTGTATTAATTTGATCTTCAAAAAAGAAATTCTTTTGACCATTGTTATGGGTCAATTAATATTTATTATCTATTGTCATCTGTGTCAAGATTGATATTTTGTATTTTAATTTTTTTCTTCCCAAACTTCTTTTATACAAAATTCATTTAAGATTAACGAAGATTTATTTAGAGCTTTATTGTTTTAATGCTTTACTCTATTATATATTCTAATAATGAGAATAGTTTTAAAATATGTTGTTTGCCTTTCTGAAATAATATTTTTCACTTTCGAATTTTTGAACAAACATTTCAAAACCTTCAAATTTTAAAAAACTCTCAAAATTCCAAAAATAGTAGATGGTTTATTTAATTTCGTGAATTTTAAAAAATTTTGAAAAAAAATAAATCGATAAAATAAGTAAATATTCTCAAAATTTCAAAAATAGTAGATGTCTTATTTAATTTCGTGAATTTTGAAAAAAAAATTAAATCTATAAAGTAAATAAAGATGCTAAGACAAATCGGTTAGTATCTGGGTATTTACAAAATACACTAGAAAATGACGATTTTCGATGAAAACTAAATAAAATTAAATTTAAAAATAAAAAATAGCTTATCTCAATTTAAGATAATTATCATAAAATTATTTTATGTACTTTTTAATAATTTAAGATAATAATAATAAATTATTTGTTAGAATTCATTTAATTTATTAATAACAAATACATTGTACAACCGAATCATTTGAAGAGAATAACATTCTATTTAAACATTGAATTAAATAAATTCAAAAAATATACTTCTATTAAAGAAAAATGGTTAAAATACACCTTTACCTCTAAAGTATTCTATTAGCACTGAATTATCTTTATAGTATATTTTAAAACGTTTTACTCCTTAAAGTTTCAAACATGACCCCATTTACAAATCGTTAACTCTATTAAAATAAAAAAAATCAATGGCCAATCAAAATACATAACGTCACGTCTTCCTTTAGTTTTTCTTTTTTTATCTGAATAAATAAAAATTAATTAAAATAAATAAATAAATAACATACCAGAACTACCCCTCTTCCCCCAACCCCACCACACTTCTACCTTCTTTTTCCCATGTCCACCGTCAGATGCTCAATATCAGTCCTCTCCTTCCCGTAAGTTTTCTGCAAAAAGGAAGGACAAAATAAAGTCGCCCTTGCCATAAGTTTCGAAACCTTTTCGGAGCTACCCAGATAAGAACTATCCACCAAGTTCATGTATGATTTCGAAGCATTCCTTGAACTGATCTGCAATCATAAAGAATAAAACAATGTCAAAAAACAGAAATCTAAATAATTTTTGACATAAACGAGGTATACATATACCTTGTCATATTTCTTCATGATTGAGCTGGTTTATGTTCCTTGAACTTATAAACAACCATTGGTTTTTCAATGTTTTGAGCTTCAATATCTTGCTTCGCAGTATCTTTCTTATCATCGTGCACGGTCGACCCTTCTTCGATGATCTCCATGTGCTCAACCGATATTCCTACAAATCAACAATCAAAGGCTAATTCATAAAGAAATTCACTTCCCTGAGTTTTAATTTTTAGTACTTGTCTACTTACTACCGCTTGCTCTAGAACCGGCCGGAGTTGAAGCCGCGAGCATGGCGGTTGATGCTGCTACAGACGAGGCGAGGCGAGTCATGTCGTCGAACAGGTCTTGCCACGACCATCCTTGAGGATTCTCCACTTTGATTCTAAAAGCAATCAAAGTAGGGTATGGGAAAAGAAGGCTCTGACGGTGGAGGTGTGGTGGGGTTAGGGAAAGAGTGGTAATTTTTGCATGTTATTTATTTTATTTTTTAATTAATTTTCATTTATTAAGATAAATAAAATAAAAATTGAAGGACGACATTTTTTGTTTAGATTGGTCTCTAATTTTTTTTTTTGAATTAAAAGAAAGCTTAAGACAGAAGTCTAAGCATGGCTAGTGACATGATCGTGCTGGGCAATGACTGCTTCTAATCGAAGAAGGTCAACAATCTCATCTTAAGGTAGTCAAAACGAATCAAACTGAAGTGATTACAGGGGCAAGGTTTTCCATCTTATCTGCAATCCTGATCCCATTCCTGCTTATTCATTGGACTTTTGTTATCCAACATCCAAGCCGTCGTTGCTTCAGAATTGCGTGCAATAAAGGAATGTGACTGTTAATGACAACACTATCTTCGACCAGCTTGACTGCTCTGCTGCAGTCATATTGTATCAATAATCTAAAAACCCAAAAACTCCTTGCAATGAGTAAACCTTCGTAGATGCTCCAGAGTTCTGCGTGAAGGACAGATGTTGTCCCTATATTTTTTGTAAAACCTGTAATCCAGTCACTAGTGGAGTTGCAAAGCACACCACCAATCGAACCTCGCCCATCAAGTGTCGCAACTGCACCATCTGTGTTTAAACACATCCATCCCCGGGGTGGCGGAGACCACGTTGAAGCGGCCACATGTTGTCTCGGGCGTTCAGTAATAGAATTAATGGTTTTGGAGAAACGAGATAACATTTCAAATTTTAGGGGATAAAATATTCTGAAAAATATTTTAAGGGACAACATTGATACAAATGGAATATTTTAGGGGACAATGATACATTTAAGCCAATAAAAATTATATTAAATTAAAAATGTAATTTTATTCTAAAATTCAAAATAAATTTGCAAAAAATTAAAATATCGCAAAACACTAAAATTAAATATAAACTTTTAATTTTTAATCAAGGTTAAAAATAATAAAAAAGTTTTAACTTTGATGAATAAAAACATGAGATTAAATTTTTTTTTTGACTCGTATTAGCATCAAACTACCATGTCATCATAGTATTAATAATTTAAAGGTTCAATATTTTAATTGAATTTAAATTTAATATTAAAATTGAATAAATTTAAATTTTAGTAGTAAAATCCATACAAATATTTAAGTATCATTTGAATTTACTTTCCATATTTTAAATATATTTTTTAATGGTCTCAACCTGGTGTTGTGGGTAGTTTACTATCTTACCTCCCCTTACCCCATTACATATGGGAATAAGAGACAACCATTTTAATGGTCTCATTTTACAGCTAAGATAGCCACAAATAATAAGATAGGGACTTAATGAATGATTTGTCCTCTAAATTATATATTTTATTGAATTCTTTTAAAGTTTTTTTTTAAATCTTTGACCCTGATATTTAATTTTGCTACAGACTTATCTTATAATTTTTAACTCTAATTAAAAAAATCTTTGAATGGGACTCTTATTATTTTATTGGCAGGACTTGTTCCGCAGGCCCGTCGACAGTAATAAAAATCTTAAGTTGGAATGTCGATGATTTGAAGAAGCTACGGGCTATGAAACGTCTCATAAATAAATTAAAACAAATTCATCTCCAAATTTTATTTCGTATGGAAACAAAATTATCAGATATAAAGATGTCTAATGTTCATCGTAAATGTGGTTTTGTGTATGGTTTCGATGTTAGTGCATGTGGTTCTGGTGGTGGACTCTCTATTGATTGGACTTGGGATATCACAATCTTCATTCGATCTTTCTCATCTAACCATATTCATGTGAATGTCTTTGAACCAGCTTCGAATCAATCTGGACGTTTGATTGGCTTTTACAGGAACTCAACGAAGAGTCAACGTGCAAGCTCATAGAATTTGTCTCTATCTTTAGGAAGTGATCAAAGTCGATCATGATCGGAAACGGAGGGCCCTTGGGGCCTATGGGGCCCGACCCCTACTCCAATTTTATGTTTTTTTTTACCCTAGTACTAATATAATTATAGGAGCCGACAAAATGTTTATGTTGAGATTTGCGGAAGCTTGAATTGACAACCGAAAGAGTTGCAAGAGGGTGAATTGACAATAATTTGTTTAGGGAGTAAGGAGAGTAAAAGATAGAGAAATTTGACACAAGGATTTATAGTTGTTCGACTTATAAACTAAGTCTACCTCCACTACCTAAGCTCCTCACTTAGTTTTTCTAACAAATTGACTAATTTGTTCTTTCTTTTTAAAGTATCAAGAGATAACTTTTACATTTCATATATTTTCACTTGGCTAAGATAGAACCAATCCCCTTTTTCAAAGGATAAAAAGAAGTAAACAATAAAACCTCTCAAAGGTAGGGTGTTTACAAATTTAGCTCACTAAAACACTTAATATTTACAAGAGAGATAAAATAAGATTGGAAAAACTCTTCTCTTGTGTTTGAATACTTGGATAGGTGTTCTAAGCCTTCTTTTAGTGTCTTGAACTTTATATGTGGAAATGAAGTTGTGGTCGTTTCTAGCCGTTTGGGGATGAAATCTCTGCAAAATAAAACTACCCAGTATAGAGGGTATCGGTACTCCTAAAGAGAGTATCAGTACTACCTTTGTTAGTTTTAAATCAACTATTCGTTACTAGTCGTTTGGGCCTGATGGTATCGATACTATGCCTATGATAGATACTCCTATGTAAAGTAGTATAGGTACCCTCTTGGGTATCAATACAATTTTTGTATTCTGGAATTTGAGCAAAGCTGGTAGTATTGATACTACCTAGTAAGTATTGATACTTTCCTTACCTTGGTTACCTTGGTATCGATATCATATTAACAATATTGGTACTGTTCATGAGGTATCGATACTGTAAGAACATTATCAATACTTCTTGTACGTGAAAATCAGTTTGTGCTCAAATCAACTTTTAAGGACCTTGAATTATTTTTGAAAACTTTGAATGAATTCAATTCAAGTCCAAAAACATTTTGCCTTAATTGTTATATCAAAATATAGTTCAACAATCTCCCCCTTTTTGATATAACAAAATATTTGAAAAAATTATTTTTGGCAAAACTTCCCCTTAATAAAATATTTAATGAAAAAGATACAAATTGTTGGAAAATATATGAAAATGTCCAGCTCCTTTTTTATTAAGAAATTTGAAATTTCCGAACCATAGTTCTCTCCCTTTTGTTAGATCAAAAATAATTCAACTTTAAAATTCAAAAATAACATTTGAGAGTAAGTGCTAAATTTGACATAAAAAGCATTTTAAAAAAATCAAAGCTCCACTCAAAAAGTGCATTCCAAACAAAAATTGACTTTAAAAGCTTGAGACTTAAATAAAATTGAATTTCAAAATAGAGTAACAAACATGTTAGTAACACATTATATTCAATATATCCAAGTCTAAAATATTTATGCAATACCAATTATTGAAATTAAGTATATGTACATAAGACTTTCAAAAATGTTATGCATTTGAAGAATTTGATATCAATTGTTAGAGAGATATCTTTTGCTTTTAAAAACACATGCATAAACATTTAAATTTAGGTCAAAATTTTAAAATTTGTAAAATCAAAGCATTTGAAAAGTTGATATCAATTGTTAGAGAGATATCAGTTGCATTGAAAATCAATTTTGACCAAAATTCATTATGATGAACTAAAAATTATGAAAATTCATTAAAACTTTAAAATGTTCATCATAAAGTATTTTTAAACATACATGAGATTAAAAGCAATGCATAATCATTTAAAATCAAAACTCATGCATGCATAAACAAAATGAGCAACCAAATAACCAAAATAAAAGCATTCAGCTTAGAGGTTACCCATTCCTTTTTCAAGTGTGGCTAGAGCATTTGAATATCATCACTTTCATCATCATTTCTCCCACACACCTACAAGAGGCATTTATTTGGATTTTGGTATCCAAATTGTTTTGAATCCTTGGACGTTAGTTTCAATGCCCCTTGTTCCCTTAGGAACCCATACTTGTCTAATTTTAAAAGATTTTCTTTTCTTTATGGGACAAGCATGTTCCAAATGACCATAAAGATGACAATTTGAACATTTTGTCATTTTTAAACATAATGAGTTGTTTTTAGAAATTGATTCTTTTTCTTTTGTTAAGCTCTCAAGCTTAACTTTTGAATCAAAGTTTTCTTTTTCTAAATCATTAATTTTGACTTTTGAAAGCTCTAAATCATTTTTCAAAAATTCATTTTGATTCTCAAAATCAACTTTTGCTTTCAAAACCAAATCATTTTCAACTTTAAGTTTTGAAATCAATTTTTTATATTTAGAATTCATGGTCTCAAATTCCAAATACAACTCATTATAAGCATCTTGAAACTCATCAAAAGAATGTAAATTTTGAATCATTTGAGTTAGAAGATACCATTGAAACTTCTTCGATGGCCATGAGGCATAGGTTGACTACTTCATCTTCATCATTGAAGTCATATTCATCACTCCAAGCTGCCACAAATGACTTTTTCTTGGATGATCCCTTTTTCTTTAGGAGGGGACATTCATACTTGACATGCCTCGTTCTTTGACAAATGAAGCACACCGGGGGATTCTTATTCTTGGTAGATTCATGCTTCACTTCCTTGGAATACATGAATCTCTTGAACTTTTTGAAGATCTTGGCCATCTCTTATTCTTCATCATCGTCTTTATCCACCTCTTCATTTGAATCTTGATAGCTAACATTGGTGGACTTGAAGGCAATGCTTACCTCCTTTTTTTCTTCCTTCTTCTTTTCCTTCTTTTCTTCTTCATCTTCCTCTTCCTTCACCATCAACTCATGAGTAAGAAGAGAACCAATAAGCTCGTCGAGAGTGAGAGACTTTAGTTTTTTAGCCTCGATAATCATCGTCTTCTTCGAATTGCCAAGACTTTAGAAGAGAGTAGATCATCTTCCTCACAAGCTTCTCATTAGGAATTACTTCTCCAAATTCATTGAGACCGTTGACAATTACGGAAAATC